AGATTAGCCTGAAGCATAGCAATTGGCCTGAGGTCATCCAGAGAACTGAGTAGAAATCAGACCCCATGTTTCTTTCTTCCTAAGATCACTCTTGGACCACTCTACTAATGGATGCATCTAACAGGTAGCTCCCCCCCAATATAGGACAGATTCACAAATTATGCTTCAATGTGAGCTTTCATGGAGCATGTCCACTCAGCTGTTTCTCTCTGGATTCTTATTCTGTAATTTTTTTCTTGTTCAGAATAGCAATTTTCAAATCCTGTGAAGAGTGTTCTGGTAGACTGAAGTGTTTTGAAACAGGTTTCTGTGTATTGCCGTTCCTGATGTCTGGTTGATGTCCATTAATTCTTTTGTATAGAGATTGTCCCTTTTGTCTTATGTAGAGTGCAGAGGGCAATAAAATAAAATAAATAAATAAATAAATAAATAAATAAATAAAATGGCATAGATCACATTGGCAGAGGAATAAGTAAAAGTGCCCTTGATGTTGTGTAACATTGTGTGTGTAACATTGTTGAGCCCTGTAATTTTGTTGCCAACGTAAATATGGGGTACAGAAGGCATCAGGGTTTAAAGGAGGGCTTAGTCCCCATTTCTTGGATTGTTGTCAATAGTTGTTTTAGATGGGGGCGTTGTCTGTAAGCAAGTATAGCCTTTTGTAAGTCTTGAAGTATTATGATCACTGGCATTAAAATAGTTCAGCTGGCTAGCTTATTTCTTTGAATAAAATCTTCTACTTTATTAAACAAACAAACAAACCTCCAGCAAATAGGTCTTACTGTTTCTTATATTACTTAGAAGAATTTCACTTCTCTGAAAAAAAATGTGACTTACACTGGTTGAAAGAACAATTTTTAAAAATGGTCTTCTTGCAAAATAAGAACATTAACTTATGATTTTAAAATTTGAGAAATTAATGCCTTACAAATCTGTTAATGGGGAGTATGTCTTACAAAGCATGAATAGCATGTAATCAATAGTATCTAATTACATAAATATAATTAATATTTATAATTATGTTATTGTTTCTATTTGTTATTAGTAATATTATTTTTAGATATTATGTTTCTTGTTTGTTTATGTGGTTTCTATTCGGGCTGTTTGTATTTTGCTATGATTTGTTACTATGATTTGTTTGCCCCCAGGGTAGTAGCTCTGCCACTAGTTGGATGGGAGAATTTTTTTTACTATGATTTGTTTGCCCCCAGGGTAGTGGCTCTGCCACTAGTCGGATGGGAGAAAATTTTTTTAAAACAAACAAACAAACAAACAAACAATGTTTCTTTCCACAGTTCCGCTTGCTCCTCCTGAAAATCTGACAATTGTCAATTACACATCTAACTCAGTAAAATTGAAATGGAGCCCAAGTCCTCAACCAAATGGTATTATTAGAAGATATGTTTTTACCATTTTTGATAACAGCAGTGAAACCACATTTTATCAAGTATGTAATTGTCATATTATATGTAGATACATTATTATGATTATTATTATGAATCAATATTCTGTAAGCACTGGGGTGTGCCAGATATTGCCTGGAAGAGGATTTGCACAGGTGGTTTGGATAGAATGGGTCAAGTTCTAAAATTGTTCACATAGCAGATAGAATATTATGGCTGTGTACCTGGGCAGAGGGATTGCTGGATGTCACATATCTTGGCTGCTTCCTTCTCCTACGCTTTCTCTGTCCCTTTTTTGGCCCCTCTGCTGGCAGATCTTAGCAGCAAAGCATTCGGTGTTCTGTCAGTAGATCTCTGAGATCAGCCACTAGAAGAGATTTCTACTAGCTCAAGGATAGTTCTGCTGGTACATATTTGCATTAGGATTACTCTGACCATCATAATAAAATTGTTAGTCTTGAAGGTATTATAAAACCTTTTAATTTTTTTTTAAATGCAGAATTTATTTATTTATTTATTTTATTCATCTTATTACTCTGACCATCATAATAAAATTGTTATTCTTGAAGGTATTATAAGACCTTTTTAATTTTTTTTAAATGCAGAATTTTTTTAAAAAAAATTTAAATGTAGAAAATTGTAATTTTATATTTACATAACAAAAAAAATACTAAACAAAATTTTAAATGTAGAAAATTGTAATTTTATAGTAATTATTTTCTTCATCTAAGAATGTTTCAGGTTCACACAATGAAACAAATATTCTTGGTCTGGAACCATTCAGCGTATACTATATCAGTGTTTCTGCATTCACAAAAGTTGGAAATGGCAATCAGATCAGCAACCTGGTACAATTCACAACAATGGAATCAGGTTAGAGGCTTAATGTGTGGTGATGAATGCTTATTAATCACTTTCTCAACAGAAATACATTCTTCTAATCTATTCCAATATGACATAGGTTTATAGAATTCTCTATTTTTTCTTTAATACAGATTTTAAAATACAATTCATATTTCTTTTTGCACCTTAGAAGAAGAAAACGGGTCAAAACCCTTTTCTTTGATTCTATCTGGATTCTAGCTATTTCTGAATGAACAGTTTAAACTTACTAGATGAACATACACATGTGGAACCTGGGCCACTCAATTTGATCAGTTGACTTATCTTCACATAGGTCAATAGAACACAAAATTCAACTCTATGTTCTCTTGCATGAAGAGTTTGTGATGCAGTGGTTAAACTGCAGTACTGCAGTCAAGAACCTGCTCACGACCTGAGTTCAATCCCAACAGGTTCTGGTATCCAGCTCAAAGTTGGCTTAGCATTTCATCCTTTTGTAGTCTTTAAATGTAGTTGGTAAATTGCCCTAGGGCGGGGCAATCAGTAGCCTGCATAATTGAATTCTTAACTGCCCATGCTACAGGGCAGCATATACGCAGCACACTTTGCTTTTGTTTTGCAAAGCGCGAGCATTTTACTCTGTTGCTCCAATGGAGCATTTTACTCTATTGCTCCGATGCTGGATACAAGTTCTACTTCCTGTCCTAGGCATTTATGTCATATCCATAGCTTTACTGCAATTGCACTTGAAGAGTGGGGTGGACAGTGAAGTTGGGAGGGGCTTAAACCTAGGAATGTCATCTATCACTTGTCCTTTTTTGTGGCTTCTGCCCCCTTTGCTACTGCAAAATATAGTCATGTTGGTATTATATATATTTTTAAAATACATTTCCATTTAAAACAAGATGCAAGGAGTGTGTATCTCTTGTTTTAAAGGAGAACCGCACTACTGTGAAAGCACAATTCTCCTTTGAGTTAAGACATGTTTTCCTTGCTCCCTTGATTTAAACCAATAGTGTTATTTTTTTCCACCATCACATCACCAAATTCCAGTGGCAGCATGTGGTTTGTGGCCCCCGTGGTGTCCAACAGAGTTAAATTGCCTGCCCCAGGCCGGCTGAAATTGGCAATCAATAGGCTAGAAGATTTTAAAGATGCTTTTAGAAGTTGAAAGGAAAAGCTTTTTTCATGTTGTCTCACTTACCTGATACAGAATATGACATTAACTGCTGTATAAACAAAAGCAGATAACTCTAAGTTACATCATGATTGTAATTTTATTAAGGATAACTTTACTCTTTTTGTGGTTTAACTGTAACCTTTAAAGTTATTTTTATAGTTGTGAAGATGTATGACTTCACTAAAAGGGAATATTACTCAGATTAAGTGCCACCTTCTGTTGTGTTTTGTGCTGCGGTCCCATGCTCTGTGGTGGGTGCTATGATAACAACAAAGTGCATGGGAGGAGAGTGTTTTGTACCATGCAGATTATTTTTCGCCCACTTTAAAAGCAACTATAGTCACTAGAGAAACTTGTAAGTAAATACTTATCTTTAAAAACATAACTATAAAAGAAAATTTCTGCTTTTCCTTCATTAGAATTGTAGCTGTTAACGAATTCCTTTTTAAAAAGTTAATTTCCAAGGTCTGGTTAAAAGCCAGTTGTGCAGATCCTTCTTCTCTTTCTTCCATGGTTTTCTCACAGTTAGCACAAAGTATAGCCAAGGTCTTTCCAGAGCAAGCCCACTCATGTGCTGCTGTTATGCTGCCTTATGAAGATCTGTGATGTTTGCCTTTACTTCAGACATTATTGTGCTCACTCTGAACTGCACTGCACTGTAACTTCCCTTTCGGTTTTATAGGAATGTTAACCTTCTGTGCACGGTTCTCTTTTTGAAGCTCCAGATACTGTCGAAAATATTCAGTGCACTGCAACCAGTTGGCAGGCAATCCTACTCCAGTGGGACCCGCCTTTGAAGACAAATGGGATTATCACCCATTACATCATAGCATTTGGAGGGAATTCAACCATCATATCTTCTGATAATGAAACAACACATACTTTTGGAGACTTGTTGTCAAACACCTCGTACCACTTTATAATAAAAGCTGCAACAGCTGGTGGGGAAGGGAAGGGAAAGACATGCAATGCCAGCACACTTTCAGAAACAGGTAACAAGTCCTGCAAGTAAAACTGCACTTGGTATTTTCCCTCGCTTTCTGCCCTACTACTTTGCTATCCCAGCATATGAATTTGTTTCTCATTTCAATTACTATTAAGAGAGCACTCTTGTGATTTGATGCACTATGAACTAGGATATAGTTATCGGTGTTGAAAAGAAGAAAGCCATAACATGAAAATGACGTACGGTATTTCTGCTGTGTTAATGTGTTTCTATATTCTTAGATTTACTAGGAAGTCACAATTTTATTTAAATTATGGGTGTTTTATTTCCATATAAATGTGTGTGCCAGAGCTGGGGTCAGTACAAATGACAAGAAAGTAACAATCATTACAGCAGTTGTACCTCAAATATGTTTTCACATGAATTGTGTTCTGCTTAGTAGCTACTTGAAACTGGAGACTCATGCTTAGGAATGGAAACAGTTTTATAGTTCCCAGCTTCTTATTTATGTTGGTCTATGTTAGTCACAGACACATAGCCAACACTTAGTCACTGCCAAAGCATTTATTTTTGACACCAAGTGAAATCAAATTAGGTTCACTGTCTCATTGCAAACTTTCCAAACAACAGACATTGGAAAGATTACTTCATTGTTTGCTTCAGTCATCACAACAGAATTCAACTTAATAAGGATCTCAAAGACAGAATATTTTATTAATAAGGCTCAGTCTCTAGAACAGCTGTATATATACCAAAACTACTTTATATAGAAGGAAATATGCATAAACATTTTCAAGCTTTAGAGCTGAATAGAATCACAACATATTCTGATGTTATAAAAGTTTACTAGGACACAACCTGGGAAAGAACACCGCTGTGCTATCTATATTTTTATTATTTATTTAATCAGTTTAGATATTTATCATTTAGTACAAAATGTACAAGGCAGCTTACACAAGTCCAATGAAAACAATAAAGTAAAACCAGCATTATAATTCACATGGCTGCAAGCTAAAACCAGAAATAGAAGGACTTATAGACTCCTAAGCAACTGAGATCTAGGAGATTACTGCTTCTGATAATGGAGATAACAAACACCAACGTCTGCAACTATTGAACACCTCAACAAATTGCCCAATTGATTCCTTTTGGAGCTGTCCAATATAGGTGAGGCTGCAGTTTCATAGTTAATCTAGGTTCAGGTTGATGTTAATGAGGCTTATAACCAAGAAGCAGAAATCTTCCGAGTTGTCAATAGCCTAACCAATGCTTAACAGACTGAATGGTAAAACCAAATTTAAAAAAATGCAACATGGTAGCAGCATATTTCAGATCTAAAACTGAAAGTATCCAGCAGGACCTGAACTCCTCTTTGAGACCAGTAGATCAAATTGAAATGTCCAATACACTGCTTAATTAAGGTTTATTAGATTGGTTTCAATTAGTGACACCTAAGGATGAGGACAAGGTACTTGCTTGCTATAACACAGTCACCTCTCCTGTGGATCCTTGCCCATATGGGCCATTGAAGTCAAGCTATTAGTGCTTCCTGTTTAAAAGAATTATAATAAGACCTGTTCATAAGAAAACCCACATGGCAATGGATGAATTAAGCAACTATAGAACTGTTGCGAACATCACATTTCTTGGTAAGCTAATAGAGAGGACAGTGGCTGATCAACTGCAGGCATTCTTAGATGAGATGGGTAGACATTTCAGACATTTCTGTTGGGGTCCAGGGCATGTCATGGAATAGAGACAGCACTGGTCACTCTGCAAGGTGATCTAAGGCAGGCAGACGGGGGAATGTAACCCTGCTGGTACTTCTAGATACAGCGGTGCCTCGCAAGATGAAATTAATCTTTCTGGGGTTAATGCCATCTAGCGAAAATTTCATCTTGTGAAGCGTGTTTTCCCATAAGAATGCACTGAAAATGCATTCCTATGGGGGGAAAAGTCAGACCCCCCCCTCTCCCTACCTCTTAGCTGATTGGCGTTGGGTCTCAGAGGCTTCCCAGGGCTTGCCCAGCACAGAAAAAGGCAGGGGGAAAAAGTGGGAAATTCAAAAATGGTGCTTTCCCCCTGCCTTTTTCCGTGCTGGGAAAGCCCGGGGAAGCCTCTGAAAGCAGCGCTTTGCCACGGGGGGGCGTCCCCCCACACCTAGCGCCGCTTTCA